GTGCGTGCGTGCGTGCGTGCGTGCGTGCGTGCGTGCGTGCGTGCGTGCGTGCGTGCGTGCGTGCGTGCGTGCGTGCGTGCGTGTGTGTGCGCGCGTGTGATGTGGTGTGACGCGGTGTAGCGTGGTGGTGGTGGGTGGGGTAGTGTGGTGGTGGTGGCGGTGCGCGGTGGTGGTGCGCGTGCGTGCGTGCGTGCGTTGGTGGGTGGAAGTGGCGGTGGGTGTGCGTGCGGCGGGGCGGGGCGTGGTGCGGCGCGGTGGTGGCGGGCGGATGGGCGCGCGAGAAAGAGGCCCGCGCTGGGGCGAGAACGCCATCCTGAACGACGGAGGCCAAACACCGATCCGAAAATGAGGCCCACGCTGCAGCGGGAGCACGATTCGGAACGATTCGGGAGCAGAAATGAGGCCGGCGCCTCAGCGAGAGCAGCATTTTGAAAAAAACGCAGGCGAAAACCCAACTCCCGGGAATCCTGTGTAAAAAAACCGTACGCGGGTGGGGGTCGACTACTTTCAGGCCGCCTTCGGGGGAAGAGGGAGAGTAGTATTCATATTGAGTAATTGTGGAGGGGAGGGAGGGAGGGAGCGACCGAAGGACGCATGAGGGAGCGGAGGATGGGGAGCACGGATCAGGGCAGACGGCGCGACGCAGGGAGCACCCGGGGCGAGCACCGCCCGCGCGCGAGCGCGCGGCACACAGCAGGAAAAATTCTCTGCACCCGCGCGAGAGCGCGCGGGCGGCGCGGGAGCTACTAGGAGGCGGCGGGTGGCCGGCCTCTCCCCGAGATGCGATGATGCACGGCAGGCCTCCCCGCGGAGGTGCCCACGGCTCGGCGCGCCCAGGTTTGGTCCCTACGCGGCCCCCCCAAAAAGCCGCGCACCAGAGGTCACTCTCATCCAGGGTCACTCCTGCGTGTAGCCGAACTTGGCATCGCTCGGACGCGTGCATTCTTGTCTCGACGAGAAGCATCGAGGATGATCCTGGAGCCTCGAGCAACAGAAACCGCGCACGAGACCGAAAAACATTCACGGGAAACGGACGTCCGAGCGACGGCAAGCTTTACCCCCCACGATCTTTGAGGGGGAGGGTGGGGTTCGCTTCGCTCGGGAGCTCCCGAGCGAAGTGAACCCCACCCTCCCCCTCTTACCAGCCTGGAACCTAACCCTATCCCTGTGCGGGGCACCTCCTCATCACGATACCAATATCAGGGGTTCCCTTCTGTTTTGAGGGCGCATCCCTAGGACTGCCATCGCCTTTTGGCGTGTCCATCTTAGGGATAGGAGTAAGCTCGAGGCTGGTAAAGAAGCATAAAAACTCGAAGGTCCGCGAGGATTGCTCGGATCGGCGCTGGACCCCCCTCTCCCTGGCGCGCGGAGCGCGCCAGGGGCGGCGCTGGAGGCGCCACCGGGGGGCCCCAGCGCCGATCCGAGAAATCCGCGCGGACCTCAGAGTTCTTATGCTTGTGCCATACGTACATACAAGGCTGAAACACGGAAATCCATTCCCAGAACGAATTCCGCAGCCCCTCGAGGGCTGGTGAGAATGGGCGAACGGATCAAGGGCCGAATGGAAGGTGAAGGGCTGGCAGCCCTGCATTGACCCTCCACGGCTTAGAGAACCGAACACCCTTACTTTTTGTTTCCCAAACGGTTCTCGTGGACGCTCGCGCTGCCCTTGCCACGTCAAGCACTGCGGCGGGGATGGTTCGAAGCGTCCGCTTCCTTTTGCAGTGTCAAATCTGGCGGATAGGCTCCGAGTCCTTCGTGTCACGCGCAGCCACATCACCTGCACGCGGCGCGGTAGACCAGAAACGGACGGTTAGCTACACACCTTTCACGCGCAGAAAGGTCTGGCTGATCATGCCTGCACACTAGATGCTATTCCAACCGTGGCAACTCAGGAGGGGAAAAAACACACAGACAATTAATCGTCGATTCCCAAGAAAAGATTAGAAAATATGGGAAGGAGGGCGAAGACAAAAACCCAGAACACATGGGAAAATATGGGGAACAATTTTATTTGTGTGTATTTATTTGTGTGTCCCAGGGCCCCTTCAGCAACATGAGGCTTAGCATACTCGGCGCAATGGAACGCGGATCGAATTGGCGGCCATGTCAGTCGGCGACAGGTCCCGGCACACATGAAGCCTCGTTGTGTCAAGGGGCCCTGGGACACACAAATAGATACACACAAATAAAAATATTCCCCATGCTTTCCCATATGTTCTGGGTTTCTGTCTTCCCCCTCACTTCCCATATTTTCCTATATTTTCTTGGGGATCGACGATTAATTGTGTCTGTGTTTTTTCCCCTCCTGAAGCATGTTGAACCAAAACATGCAGTAGGCCGATCCAATCGGCGTGTGTGTGCCAACGGGTGTCAAGAGGGCCCCATGTCACAGTCGACCCGTGTCGTAAACCTTGCCGGCCCAAACAGAGTAAGGTTTCCGGTCGTTGAATACACTCTCGCTTGCGCGCGCGACGAGGCAACCATCCTTCAACACCGCACGATGTGCTCACTTATGTTCGTTGTCTCGCCGTTTCGCTCCCGAAGGGCTTCTGTGGCTGCAATCTGGAAACAACGTCGTCCAAGACAGCAGGCCGCAATATGGCCACCAAACAGCCTAGATGGCCCAAGATGGTTCAACACTGCCTACAAGGCGCCCCAAAGAGAACGAACACTTCAAGCACCTGGAGAGCCTACGAAAGGGCTCAGCATAACATACACGTTGACTCTTGCCTTTTCGTGCTTTCGGGCTTCGGTGGTGAAATGGGTGGGAACATGCTGCGTTGAGTGCTCCCCTCAATCTGCCCAGCGACTGTTTCTCCCCCGAGTGGGCTTGGCATCACTGCTCGGGGAAGCTGCCACCATTCAGCAGCTTCACACCACCGCGAGCTCCTGAGCAGGGGTCACGCCATTGCACTATGATATGGGCTGGCGGAGTAGGCGAAGCGGGCGAGCACGCCGAAGAAACCCGTTCCCCTTAAATTCGTTCCCCCGCCGCTAGGGTTAAGTCGGGCCTGTCCCCCTACAGGCCGCTTTTGGACGAATCATTAAACATACCCAACAAAATACAATGGAAATGCTCAAAAATGATCAAACATATAAGCCCTGGACTATTGTTTTACTATTTTTTAAACATTCCCCCTGTATCGGGGATGGACTGGTTTAGCGAACACGACCTGAGGCCCAAACCTGGCGGGCGCAGGCCTGGAAATTAACGGCCACGGCGCCCTCTCGAGACCCGAAAACGGACAACTCACTAATCGACGTGTCACAGTTGGGGGTTCTGTCCACCCCCGACTGTAGAGGGACGGGCCCGACTGAACGCCAGGGGTCCGAAAGAAGGGGCAAGGGACACCTCCTCGGGCCCCACACCTCGGGCAGGCCGGCCCCGTGCACGGCCGGCCCCATGCCGTGTCGCATGCGCGCGGGGAGCACGCCCACTCCTTCTGGTTCCTAGGTCGCCCAACTTCTCGGGAGCGGCCTAGAGGGGGGTGTCCAAGGGGGGGTGCAAATCATGACCAGCGGCACGTGCGCGGCCCAGCGGGGGGGGGGGCCAGGGACGTACTGGAATCAGAAGAGGCGCCATGAAATCTGGGGAAATATCATGGCCCACGCCATGATATCCCCCCCCCTAGTCATCACCCCCCTCTTTTCCGCCCCGAACTTTGCGAACCGCACCCCGTGAGGCGCTACCTGCGGTCAAATACGCGCCACTGTCTGAGAGGTCCTCGCGGGAAAGGCCAAAGACAACTATATTGATGAACCACCAGATTAGGCCAGATTGGGCCCAGGACTGAGCGGGACTTAGCGTGACTGATGGGGATTCAACCAATTGAGCCAGGACTATGCCAGATGTTCCGGCCTATAGTGGAAGAAACTACGGATGCTGCTACCAACGCCAATGCTGAATCTCACCTTCGGCGGCAACTCGTGGGAACTGTCCATTCCATCTTGTCGGTTCTTGCGAATCGACGCTCATCGACGCTAGTCGACGCGAGTCGACGCTAAACAACGCTAGCCGACGCTAGATCGGGGTTACCTCATTCACTCCTAGACGCTAGTTGACGCTGGCCGATGCAAAGACGAAGGTAAGAAGGTACAATAATAGCTGGACCACACGACACCTCCCGCAAGAAACCCAACCCTGCGACCCCAGGACGTCCATTGATCTTTGGTGTGGGAACGTCACGCTTTCGAGAGCAGAATCATCGAGCCTTTTGCGTCGGCGGCTAGGTAAGGCAAATGCGCTGGCGGAGGGCTACAAGCGGGGGCACCGTTGTAGCGAATCGCGCCGCCATGCAGGAGGGGAGGAAAGGCCGAGAGAGCGGCTGAAAAAGTGGGCGGTAGGGGAGTAAGCCGTTCACGGGGAGGGGTCACGCCCCGAGCGTGTGGCGCGGCCGGCCCCGCCAGCGGGCCCGCGGCGGCGGCTGCTGCACCCGGGGGCCGGCGACGGCGGGGCGCAGCGCGGCTGCTGGGATCTCCCCAGAGGGCCAGGGTGCGACGCGGAGGCAAGCAGGGGGTTTCTTGGCATGGGTTTCCACCGTACCAGCGAGACGCTCCTCCTCCATGTCCAGGCGCTGCGTGTTCCCTGAGGTCCAGGCGCTGCGTGTTCTTGTTCGCAGCGGGCGTCTTTTCGCCCAGCGGCCAGCCCCAGGACCACCGCAGATCGATCGGTCTCGAGAAGCGAAGCAGGAAGCGGAGGAGGATGAGGAGGGGGAGGGGGAGGGGGAGGAGGAGGAGGAGGAGGAGGAGGAGGAGGAGGAGGAGGAGGAGGAGGAGGAGGAGGACCAGGAGGAGGAGGAGGAGGAACAGGAGGAGGAGGAGGAGGAGGAGGAGGAGGCCGACGGACTCTCCACCGAGCTCCTCAAAGACGCCCCCCCGCCCACCCGAGAGAGCGCGGCAGAGGGGCGAAAGCAGCCGCAGACGGCGGCGCAGGCGCTGCCTGCTCCGACCTGCACGGCAGCCCAGAGACCACGCCATCCATGGGGTGCTTGTCCACGCTGGCGACGGGGGGAAGGCGACGAGGGGGATGACGAGAACGATGCTCTCTTCCTCGCCTCCTCCTCTCGGGCCGGGCGAAAGGGGGAAATAACAAAGGGGGGGGTTGAGAATCAGCTCACGTAGCTGATTTTCCCGGCGCCTCCCCGCGCCGGAGGCGGCTATGTATCGAGGACTGGGCCTGTCGGTGGGGCCGAAACCAGCTGCATGCAACAGACTTCGTAACCCCCCCTTCCCAATCCCCCCCCCTTCGTCCGGCCCGGTCCTCCTCCTCTTCCTCATCCTGGGGGGCAGGCCCGAGAGCTTGCCCCGTGGCCGGGGAGGAGGGCTCCCGAGGACCCTCGCCTCGCGGGTCGCCAGCCGGCGTCGCTGGACGCGGTGGCTCTCTCTCTCTCTCTCTCTCTCTCTCTCTCCCTCTCTCTCCGGGGCGCGCTGGCCAGGGGTGGGGGAGTGCCCCTGGCTCTGTGGCGCCCGTAGCGCAGATCGGCGTCCGCTCGCCGTGTGACCACCGTGATCAGCGCCACCACCACCACAGTTCCAGCTCGGGTGGCAGACCAATCTCAGACGTCTCGACACTGTTAGCGAATGCTCCTGAGCATTCCCTGTTGAATAGTGTGCTTCCCAGCTCTGTAGCTCGCCTAGAGCTCGAACTTAGTAGGGAAACCCAACATCGCCTCTTGAAAAAATTAAAGACATCATCGTCGGCATCACTGTCAGCACAGGAGCGCGCCCGTCAGCGTGCGCGGGCGGGCGAAAAGGCGAACGGATAGACCGAGGTGTCTACGTTCTCCCGATGGGCCCCCGGACAACAAAAAAAAACGAGAGGGGCCAGGGAGGGCCACCGCTGTGCCGACTGGCCCTCCTCCGAGGAGTCCCTGGCCCTGCCTACGGGAACAACACGTCACATAAACATAACAACTCGGAGGTCCGCGCGGAGTTCTCGGATCGGCGCTGGGACCCCCCGGCGGCGCCTCCGGCGCCGCCCCTGGCGCGCTCCGCGCGCCAGGGAGGGGGGTCCGGCGCCGATCCGAGAAATCCGCACGGACCTCCGAGTTGTTATGTTTATGTCACTTGTTGTTCCCCTATTTCGGCGGTGGACAAACCTCCCTTTCGTAAACCTCCCCTTGGCGAAAACGGCCCGGGACCGAAACCGACGGACCTGGACCCGCAAAACGACGGCCGCGACGCCCTCTCGCGAGCCGAAAACGGCCAATTCCTTAATCGACGCGTCATGCTAGGAAGTCTATCAACCTCCGACTACTTTGGACGCCCGGAATGGGTACGGAAACAATGGGTACAATGCCCAACAACAAATGCTGTCCCAAACCAACAGCGGCCGCTGTTGGGCAGGCGGCCTTCTGTCTCGAATGGACACGGGCCGCGACGGCGTGGACCGCGAATCCTGTTCAAAATGAACAGGAACTGCTGTTGGGCATTGTACCCATTCTTTCCGTACCCATTTCTTACCACCCTGGAACATATCCCTATCCCTATGCTGGGCACCTCCTCATCACGATGCTAATCTTGGGGATTCCCTCATTTTCTGAGGGCGAGTCCCTAAGATTGTCATCGCCTTTTGGCGTGTCAATCTTGGAGGTGGGGATACGTTCGAGGCTGGTCAATTTCGGGCGCCCAGAACTGAAGGGGAACTGGGGCACACAAATAAATACACACCAATAAACATATTCCCCATATTTTCCCATGTTTTCAGGGTTTCTGCCTTCCCCCCACTTTTCTTATATTTTCCTATCTTTTTCTGGGAAATCGACGATCAATTGTGTCTGTGTGTTTCTTTCCCTCCTGAAAAACTATTGCCCCCTGCCCCCCCGGACCTGGCACCGCCGAGGCATCGCCCGGACGGGTCGGCGCCGGCCCCCCGCGGCAGCGAGGCCGTTCCCGGGGGGGGCGGGGCGGGGCACCCCCCGGGCGAGCGAGGGCCCGCGCCTCCCGCCCCGTGGTCTTAACTCGGGCGTGCCAGGGGGATATTCGACGAAAAATGAAAGGATACCCCAAAGAGGTCAAAAACATATGCAAAAGAACGGTCCCCAGACGATGTTTGGACTATTTTTTAGCATGCTTGGAGTATCTACTATTGGTCGTCGAAAATCCCCCTGTGGGGGGACAGGCCCGACGCAAGCCTTCCCCCCCCGGATCGGGAGCGGCCAGGAGGGGGGTGTCCACCTGAAGGCCCTGCGTAGTTAGTAAAAGTTAGCGGAACTTCTGATTGTTATACGGAGTTATAACTAGTTAGGTTTGGCCAGTTTGAAGCTGTTTTTGTTAATGTTTATGTTGTGTTTTTGCATCTCATGTAGTTGGAAATTGGGGCATCATGATTGGGCGCTTCGTCGATTTGGATCTGCTCAGGGGCCTTCAGATGTTTTATCGTCCTGGGGCAAACGCGACGGTCCGCAGCGCATCATGCTAGCAACATCGCGATTTGTCTTCTACTGGCCAAATGCACGTGATGTCGTTCTCTATTTTCCTGTAAATCACAAGAGATTTCAGCGAGGTCAGAGGCATCAGAACAGGGTCTGTATCATATAAAAAGATGTGTCTGGAAAAACCTTCAGCGGCGTTCACATGCTTAGTTGCAAGCTGCTGGACAAGCACCTGCGACTCGCCATCGTCGCATTTCACGTCAAACCACACTTGCATTGCTGCATGCATCCCGCCCGACCCCAGAAGTCCGATATCACCGCGCTTGATGCGGCCGAAATCTGTCATGGCTTCGATGCTGGAGACGGCTGTCTGCGTCCCAGGGCACATGCGTTTCAACGCATGCAGCAGCTTCTGTGTTGCATTCGTTGGGTCGACTAAGCCAGGTGAAACACGCATGGTATTTCAATCGTGCGCGTGCTGCGCAGTGAGTTGGACCATGAGAGCCTTCTCTGGTCCCTTCTTGCACATGTGGTCTTTGGCGAAGCGTTTTACGTTTTTGTGCTTGCGTTCCTGGACAAAGCAACTGAGCGACCCATGTTTTTCAAACATTTCTGGCAAATGGGTTGCCATATGGTGCTTATACACCCAATAGCTGTCACCATATGCGTCCTGGTGGCACCGAAGATGTTTCACTATCGCTGACTCTATCTGCGCGGTCGTGACTGGAAGCCGCCGCACCGCCGCGATGATTAAGTCAACGGCATCTTGCAATGCCAGCATACTTGCGATCTGGGGGGCCACTTGATCCGATGAAGGACGCTTGGCAATTACTTGCCGAATATACCTGCACAAAACAGGCAACGCAGAGATCTCTTCTGAGGCACCTGCTTGGAGCTCACCAGTCTCCCATACAGTTGCGGCTGAGTGGTGTTTACTCGGCCACGTCCACTTCATGAAATACTCATGCAACTCCCTTGCATCACAGAAACACTTGAACTGCGCATGCCCTAAAAGTGCGTTTACTTCTCTGTCGAATATACCAGACACAAACTAAATATGCATCCGGTCCAAGCAAATGAATGACGCAGGGAGATATCGCAAACCTGGGTCCAGCGCTATGTGTTCGGGGTGGAAGTTCCATCCTTTGTGCTGTGTGGTGGTCGTGTACTGCCCCTCTGAAAACTCCCCCCGCTGATATTTATCCCAATCGGGTCGAAGTCGTTCCAGGATCGCGATGATTGTCGCGTCATCGTTTCTGCGCATCTTTGACTCATCCAAGCGCGCGTCTGTCGCAAAGCAAGCAATCAAACTTTCTATTCAAGACGTTGCGACATAACGCACAGGGCTTGGAACCAGCGTGCCCTTTGTTCATGTGTAGTTCCCGCAGTGCCTCTTCGTCCCCTATGACGCACGACAGCTTCGCGACGATCGTCGCGTGCGACGTTGCGTCGCCGTTCTCTGACACGTCTAATGTAACACCGCTCGTCTCCAAATTGAAACCACCAGCATTTTTTTTTTTTTTTTTTTTTTTAAAAAAAAAAAATAAAAAAAAAAACTTCTTTGAGGATCATCTTGATGCACTGCCCGATGTCACCTGGGATGCTTTTTATTTTTGCGCACCGCGCAGTGCCAAGCGTGAACCACGCATCTTCGTTACCCAAGGACTCGTCGAACTCAGCGAACGACCAGTAAACAGCATCAACCCCCCGATAATCTTTTCCCTTCGCCAGGGGGTCTCGCGGTGAAATACCATCGACATATAAAATGATGTGCCACGGCGACGCCAGGCTGCATGGGTGCTCCTGAAGTGAGCGGCGAAACATCTCCCTGACTGGAGCGCTAGCCTTGCAGCAGGAATGCAAAAATGGCCCAGGACAGCACACCCAGTTCTCGAAAATTCCACCACTGACTAAAGGCGTGTCTATGCAACGCAAGACGTTCCCATATGCGTTCGACTCTTTGGCAATGATGTTTTCGTTTGCCCTGTATTGTGAGCTCCGTGGAATATTGCCGGGCAACCCATGGTCTCGCACATATTTTAGGACACCCGACAGAGCACGCTGTGCTAGGTATGAGCCCCTGTGGAGCTCCGCCAGCGCCTCATCCGCCTTGCGTTTCCTGGCGGCGGACGCGGCCACGGTTTCAGCCCAAATGGCTACATACTCGATAGCGATGCCAATGCGCACCATAGGATGCATGCGTCGCGTTATGGTAGGGGCACGCTGCACGATGCATCTGAATGCAGCGAGGCGATAGATCACAACAGAAGTGCACGTTGCATATCGATGCATATGGCATGATACGACGTCGCATCAGAAGGACATGTAGGTGCAGATTGATGCATACGAAGTGCGACGGTAGCTCGCAACAGAAAGGAGTGTTGGACATTGATGCATGCGACTTGCGATGAAAAGATCGCAACAGACTTGCGTTTTAGACATCATGTTACAACGTCATACAAGCAAGAGAGAGTTCGTCGACGTGGCGCCGCCCACCGCCACGCTGCAGCTGCGATGCGAGCTCCCAGCCCTGATGGTCCTCAACAACCCCCTGGTCCTCCCCCTCCCCGCGTCGAGCACCTAACACTTGGCGTCGATCCACGCCAGCGCCGCGCTCCAAGCCT